TATTGTATTAAAGCTCCAGTGCTGGCTTCCAGAAGTGCTGGATTTCCCAGATATAAACTTATATCAAGCACTAAAGTAATCGAAGCTCAACATGAAGAAAGTCTCAGTGTTCCAGGGTTGGATTAGACCTGTCTTGTCCCTGAAAGAACTCTTCTGCTCACCTGATAAATGTTTGGAAGTAGTGCTGGCAATCTTGGCTGATCATTTGCATTCCAATAAAATATTTCTGTTTTGAAGGACATACAGAATAGGCCTCCTTAAAAGCTGTTTTCTTGATTAAGTTGGTCTTAATAACGCAGGAATGTTAGAATGGAATTTATGAACACTCAAATACAGTATACATTTTGTTTGCACATTCTAGACATGATCCATCTGTGCATTAGTGGGAGTTCCCAATTCCTATTTCTGAACAATACATCCGTATTGGTGGTGATATGGCTTTCACTGAATCATTTATTCAAATTCGAATTCATTTATTTAGATATTCACACAGTAGACTATGGAAATGAAACAATCATCACCATAACCATTCATAAACACTCTAATTTATATCAAATGCCTACGTAACTCAGAGCTATTCAAATTTTTCATTTAAAATTTAAAATCTCTTCCAACGGTTCTGCTCTATGGTTAGGTCCTAAAAACTGTACCCGCCCCGAATCGACCCGAATCACTACTTACCCGAACCCGACGTGCATAAATTATTCTTTTTTTAAAGAAAAACCCGTCCCGAGACAGACCCGATAAAATTAAACCCGAGTCCGACCCGACCTGACGCCATTTCCTTTAGAACCCGACTCCCGAACGGCATTTACATTGTGCACAGCCTGCAGCCCTGCGTTCCTAAAAAATGCACTTGTACGCGCAAGTGTAAGCACGCTGAGTGCTAAAATGTCAATCACACATCACTGTAACCCATTACGTCCTATAATATTTGGCATAATGTTATTTACCGGACCATACGATGATTAGAACCACCACAGGGTAAAATTTACCGATGGCTGTTTTTCAAATTATAGCAGATTTTCCATCAACTTCTCCCAGTCATTGACTTTTACAAAAATTTTGTTATTTAGCCTACAATCCCGTTGTTACAAAGTCGTTTAGATAAAATTCGATTAAAAACAGGGCATTAGAACCGCAATAGCAGGTCGAATTGGACGTTCTGAATCAAATCTTAATATGGTACTGCAGTCAACACATTTAACTGCACCAGTCTTTTTTCCTTCCTTATCAACAATGATCACAAAAAGTTGCCCTCACCGATGACGACCTTGGTTTTTTCTGTTCTATATGTTTGTTTTCCCTCACCTTTTTCGCAATGTCTGTTATCACCTCTGACAGTGTCGCGTATTTTTAAAATTGATTGACAGGCCTGGCTTAACGACAATTCAAATACTTGCATGTAGTCAAACATCCATCCACATGATGGCGCACTTCTGTAGTTCTTCTTGGCAAATGGAGGGGTTGGTTTATGTGGAGTGAGCAACTGAGTAAATAAATGCTTCTGGGTATAGCCCATTGCACGTAAAAGCGCGAATTCGCTCTCTCACTTAAAAAAAAGAGAACGGTGTCATAGAGTTGTTTTAAATTCTGCAATTTTGTTAAATGCCCAACATTGTTTAAAATAATTTGGGTCTTCTCGGGTCCATTTGGAAAAGGCATATTTATTTTAAAATATCCGAGACCCGAGGCCTCTACTACCGAACCCGAGCCGTGTTCGAGACACTTGTTGGAGTTTTGGACCCGAACCGGTCCTCGGGTTTTCGGATCCAAGTGGACCCGTGAATACCTCTATTCTGGTGACGCGGTGCACTGGGTGATTTTCGCACTCCACTTACTGTAAAGTGATGTATCGATGTTCCCTTATTCCCTATCCCGTTTGCAGTGCCCTTCAAACTGAACATATTCGTTCCCTTCGTATTGGAATCTCACTTAAGATGGCGAAATACCCTGTGAAATTCACTTCACAGTCCACTTACGGTCGAATGGAACGAGGCCCTAAATATGAACACATGGTATGTAATAGAGAGCTTCCACTCTACATCACGCACAACGTGGGCAAGTCGACTCGCAATTGAAACTGAAATTAGGATGTTGTTAAGTATAACAAATAGCCTACAAATATTAGGTTGGCTAAAATAATTTCCACTAAACAGTTTTCAATTATAATTTACATGTTAAATGAAAAGCATTTATTATAAGCATTTCTATTAACTATTCATCATCCATCCTCTCAAACTTGAGCTCACTGAGCTTGTTTGTTCATGCGCAGCTAAATGAAGTTCTTACCATCTAAAACAGGCTTTGTGTGAGGAGCACATCAGCCACCTTAACATACTGTCTCCTTAACATACAGAGTCAATATGATGCTATGAAGATGACAGGCAAATTTTTTTCCCTCAAACATTGCTGACACTAACAACATTGCTTTTGTGTGAATCATCATTGACTAAAAAGACCTCGTAGGTCTTGAGAAATCAATCCATGCATTTAGAAGCAATCTAACCGTCGTCTTAGCACAACAGCGGTTTCAAACACCTCTCCAATTTACTTGCATTGCCAGATGAAATGACTCTACACTGAAGATTTTAGTAATAGTCTACTTTTCCCCTCAAAGGAAATGACTGATGCTAATCGCTAACACCATCATAAACTCAACCTGCATTGCACTCAGGTAAATGAGCTGTGCGTTATCATCATCCATCTCTCTTCGTTGCTTCAGAGAAAAATGTTTTAGGACATACTGTTTAAACGGAGTGTCGTATCATTTCGGTTTAGCACTCAGTTGGTTACAGCCCTGTCATCTCTTTGATACAAGGGCTAACCACCCCTTAAAGAGGCTTTAAAGGGTTTTTTATGGTTTCAAAAAAGAAAAAGAAAAACAATGTAATTTATTCTTACTGAAAGTTACTATACCATCAAAAAGATGGTTTTAGCCATTTGTGACAGATATCTGAGTGAAATGACTTCTCAAACAAGAAAAAAGTAGGACGGGACTTGATTTTGTACATTAGGAATTGTTAAATGGTTGTGGTTTGCTATTGTTGCAAACTCATGTGTGTGATATGTTGTCCCGCCCTCAAGAGAGAGGGGAAGTTACTTTGTTTAAAGATAACAAGGGGACATTAACACACACTCGACAAAATATTAGATAAAATGACCTCACAATCTGTCATATCTTTCTTATTTTATCCCCCTTTCATCCACATTTCTGCCAAGAAGATGGTGTGTGTGTGTGTGTGCATGTGTGCCCATAGAGATGATTTTGTCATTTATTTATTTTCAAGAGGCTTTTCTATTGTGGCTGAAATAGTGTAATTTGCTTTTCCCAGACTCTGGCAAGCCACTAGTGCTAATAGGTTTGCTGATGGAGCTTTCAAGTTGTTTATTTGCAGAGTTGAATCACTGCAGCACACAGTGAACATGCTGGCTGTGGCTGGACTTGCATTACAGTTTTTCTGTGGCTTTGGTGCATTTCTTGAATCCTCCTTAACACTTTCTCGAATACATTTGTACAAAAATCAACTTGCAAAAGCCTGTAAGTTGCTCAAAATCCTTAGTTCATCTCACAAAAGTACGTTTTTATGTTAATGAACATATCAGTGCTGTGAAAATGGCAAGTCCTTGTGTCATTTTTCACAAACATGATAATTAAAATGTTTAGCCACGTTGTCTATATAGTGTACTCTGTCAGTGTTTTCAGATGTAAAGTATGGCTATGATTTTGATGATAACGGTTGAAAATGCACTTTTTCTTTCTGTATTTTAACAGTACAAATTGACCCATTACTGTAAATGGGATGTTGATTGCAAGAGACTTGACACGATTCACAGTTGCGCTTTTACTGTTGGTCTTTCAACAAATTACAGTAAAATGCCATTGCGATATATAAATATATGGACACTTTATATATGTCTATGTATGCTTGTGTGATGATATTGTAGTAATTCCCAAGATAGTTATAATTATTATTTTTTTGCCAAAGTGGGACTAGGGGGGCTCCGTAGGGTGAAATGCAACAAAACAGAGCAGAATGCAGAGATTGATTCGCCATTTGTCCATGATTACATCAGACACTGTAACAGACAAAAATGACAGTAAACACTCAGTATACTTGAACTTCCAGTCCCAACCCCAAGTTTTTCTGATTATAGTAGCACTAGATGGTGAGGTTCATTATTTCTTTTCTTCATGATCAGACTTACAGTTTACTGGCGGACAATAAAAAAGATGAAAGAGGGAACTTGCATTGAGGGAGGGACCCAAGCCATCTACAAAACGTGTAGCAAAGCACTGTCTACCATCCACAACATGTCATTGTGGTGATGAACACTGCTCAAATGTTCTTCGAAACACTAGCTTTGAAACCAGAATTAAAGTCCCCTCAAAATCAAAATGGATAATTCTCATGTTTTTAACCTGTCACTCACATGGGATCACAGCAATATGAAATGACAACAATTCAATCAATTCCAGATGGACACCTTAGATTTTTTCTTGTTCAAGAAGCCGTTTTACTCTGATTTTCAAATTCCATTTCATGCCGGCTTTAACCGTATAAACAGCGAGACTATGCAGCAAATGTGTACAGACCAACCATAAAGCAGATCAGAATGATTGAATGCATCCTGCATGTACATCGAGAAAAGCATACTTGTCTTTTCAAACAAGCTTGGTGCAGAGATGAAAAGGTCAGCTAGGATTATGTTGTGAGCCATAACCTGTCGATATGATATCCAAGAGATTTGTTTCACCCACTCACTCCCATTCACCCTCTTGTTTGCATTTGCCTGTTGTGATGCACAAGTAAATAAGTGAATTGCATCCCTTTACTTCCTCTCGTTCAAATTCATTTTTCAAAGTGCTGTTACGTCCTGCCAGAATGCTGGGGACTTTAAATGACTGACTATAAATTAGTAGGTTATTGTTGCTTTTATTACAGCCTGAAAACCAGAGCCAGAGTTTCTTTACCAGTGTGCTTTTGTTCTGATGGCAGACAGGAAGTGTTTCATATGCAGAGGGAGTTGCTGAAAGAGAGGACAAGATGTCGTGCTCTGGAAGACGAGCTCAAAAATCCCATGAATGTACACCATTGGAGAAAAATATCGGTATGAGCTTACATTGGCTTGCTGTCGAAACAGTCGTATTATCAATGAAAACAGTTCCAAAACAGTTTTGTTTTTAAAATCTCTTTTTCTGTTTAGGAAACTGATCCAAGCACCTTCGAATTGATTCAGAAGATTCATTGTCTGCAGCGGAGGCTGATAGCTAAGACTCAGGAGGTTGTGGAGAAATCGCTTCTGCTACAGGTAAAAAGATATAGAACAATCCTAGTGCCATTTCTACCTCGCCTGTCATTGGTCAGACAAACAGATTGTCCAATCCCAGAATCACACCATTAGTTGAAATGTTATATTAATTCCTTTCTTTAAAAGAATAATCCATAAATGCTGCGAGACTGAGGCTATTTATACCGGCTTCCTCTTGTGCTGATGGGCTGATTACCTGAACGTGCTCATCCCGAACTTTGTTTCATAAAACTTCATATAAATATAATAATATATAGGTGAAATTTGAAAAATTTGAATTTCTTGCAAATGTTAATTTATTCCAGTAATTCAAGTTGAAACTAATATGCATGCAAAGTGAAAAAAAATATATTCGTTATAATTTTGATGATTTTTTGATATCACAATATTCTTGAATTTTTGGGTTTTCATAAGCTGTGAGCCATAATCATCAAAATTGTAACAAATATAGGCTTGACATATCTCACTTTGCATGTAATGAGTCTATATAATATATTAGTTTCACCGTTTAAGTACTGAGATAAACAAACTTTTGGATGATATTCTATTTTTTCGAGTTTCACCTGTATATGCACACATATATTATGTAAACTAAAACTTATGTTAAAGTAGATGAGATTGTGATTAATCGATTTGACAAAACTGATATTGTCATGTATGCTCGATCTTAGACATTAAACCATAATCTTCTTACCAACACAAAATGTTGACTGGTAGTGTATTCACTAATTTTTGTGATAGGGAGAAAAAAAAATCTTGAGTTATTATCAAGTTATCAAGAAGACACCATAAAATAACTTCTGTGCCCGTAGCTCCACATAATCAGAATGTCCACCATTAGTTTTACACATCCTCTGTGCCTGGCTTGTTCCATTATTACATATTTGGACTAATTTGATAATGCTTTCAGTGCCCAATAATAGTAAAGCACTCTCTACTTTTATCAAATTAAAATCCATTCCACAGAATTCTTCATATTTTCCCCAAAACTGGACTGCCTGGACTGATAATAAGTCATTTTGACTACATAATGTATTTTTAAAGTATTGTGAACTGAGAGAGAGAGAGAGACATATTTTTGTATGTATGGGATTGTCATCATTGACCTTTGTGCCATTTAATTCAAGAATACACAACAAGCATAGTCTCTTATATATGTTTAGCCATAATCTACTTACAGTACATTACAGTCTAGATATACCAATGAAGCAGAGTCATTTCATTGTGTGTGGTGTGAGCCCTCCATTATCTGAAATGAAGTGATCCGTGCTGTTCATTGCTCAGACTAGAAACAAATGTGATTGCTTGGATGTAGCAGGTGCTCGAGCAGAGCTTCTTGAGGGAGCAACATTTGTTTACATAAATGCACTTGAAATCTCTGATTAGGTTATGAATGGAGAAATGGAGAGAGCGACTAGGGTAACTTTGTATGCGTTCTTGCTATTGTATTTGGGATTTTTAATTGCTTTGGTTTGTTTGAGGCCAATAATGGTGGCGCCAAAGCAACTAAGCCGACACGTAATAGAACTGATAGATAGAGGGAATAAATAAGACGGAAAGTTTTGAAAAGTTTCGTCTGAAAGAGACAGACAAAATGTTCCAGGAGTAGCCGTCCACTTAACTTTCGCCATTACAAGACGTGTAGACATTGACTGTGATGTTGAGTTTGAGTTAAGAGTTTTTTATTCCCTATTCGGATCTTGAGTTCAGATGCCATGGAAATGATAAAATGGGCTTTCAACATGCCATCAGACAGACAGCCAGTTTAAAAAGGTTCCTTTCATTGTCTGTATCAAATGAAGCTTGAAGGGATAGTTGACTTTGAAAATAATTTTTGATATGTTTTAGCTTACCTCAAGGGCATCCAAGATGTAAGTGTCTTTGTTTCCACAGCATTTTCAATTTTGACATTGTTTAGTCAAACCGTTGTCTGTCAGTCATATAATGCAGGTCTATGGTCACCACCTCAAAGAGCATCCACAGAGAATTAAAATTAAACATGATTTAATGACTCGTAAATGTAAGTACGCATTGATGGCCTAAGACACGAAACGAGCGGTTTGTGTGAGAAAATGAACAGTATTTATATAGTTTTTACGAACTGATCTGAACCGAACTGAACTTTTAGATTCATATTATTGTTTTTTTTTTTTTAATTCTGTTCGATGAACAACTTTTAGGATTCATAAGTTAATCAGCATTGCGTATTTCTATGCACGATTTCTATCACAACTTCAGTTGCCAATGGACCCCAATTGAAACAAACTCTGATTCCAGCTTTTTATGCACACATTGTCTGCGTGGAAGTATGAGCGAACATTGGGGTTCGGCGCTAATTAGGTTAAAGCTGTCTGCCTTACAACACCCCTATAACTCACCGTGTAATTATGAAGTCGCTCAGGCACATCTCTGTGTATTGGCTTTAGCGCTGTGTGTGAGCTGCATTTGATGCCTTTTAAAACAGCCGTCAGACAGCAGGGCATTGTTGTATTGTTTTGTAGCTGTTTGCAGTGAAGATTGTGACAGCGTGTACAATATAGCCCCGTTTAGGACACAATAGCAAAAAGCCATTGCAGTCAAGACAATGCTACACTTCTGTAGACGGAAGACACTTGTGATTTAGAAAGGATGTGAGATGGGCTCCATTTTGAATATAATACCCATTATAGATCTTGAAGTATTCACAATGCACTACTTTACAGCAGACAAAGACCAGGGGATGTTTTTCGCATAGACACAGACTCTAATTGTTGCATTATTTGCATTGAGGCAGAGCAGTAATAAAAGAGGCACGGACCATATCATGTTGGTTAATATACGTGCAGGCAAATCTGGACTGGCGATTAGCGGTTAGCTTTTTTATCATGCATAGTGGCTGCAAGATATGGCCCAATGACTCACCGTATTACCAGCTGAGGTACGACGGGAAGGGTTGTTTTACCTTTGCAACAAGCAGCGGGTTTATTATGCCCTACAGATAATGTAATAAAACACTATATGCATCATATCACAGATGAGTCGAAAGGTCAGCGAAACTTTCGAATAAGGTACCGTAGAGTTATATTGAGTTTTTTGAGCAAGTGGGTAAAACAGATAAGAAAGCGTTATTTTGAATTGCAGAAGATCCAGCACTCAGAGCAAGGTCATGACCTTTAATATCCAAAGCTCATGCGTGAGTACTTCCTTCAGCGCTGTTTACACAGACTAACCTGTTTAGTACACACTGCTGTGAACTACTTTAAGCATCATGGACGTGTCCAGAACTGATGGTTTTTAGTGGGGATCCCATAACTCTTTTATGGAAGCTTGTTTCCTCCACAGAACAAAAAATAAAAAAGGTAATTTCGACTTTTTTCTATCACGCAATTCCTAATTTCTCAGAATTGCGTAATATAAAGTCACATATGCGAGTTATAAAGTCAGAATTGCGTGTTATAAATATGCAATTCTGAGAAAAAGACAGATTTGCGGGTTTGTTTTCTAACAATTGCGAGTTTATATCTCACAATTCTGACTTTATATCTCGCAATTCTGAGAAATGATAAGTGAGATAAAAAGTCACACTGTTTTATTTAACACAGTCTCATCCCAAGAAGTCATATAACTGACGTCTTGGGACGTCTTTTGACCATACGTCAATATCCGCCTTTTTAGGGCCCCCTTAAACGTCGGTAGATGACGATCCCGGGCCGTCATACAACTGACGCTTTACCTTTAACGGTTTAGGGGTAGGTTTAGGTCTGGGGTAGAGTTAGGATCCGATAACGTCATCTACCGACGTTTAAGGGGACCCTAAAAAGGCGAATATTGACGTTTGGTCAGTTATATGACATCTTGGGATGAGACTGCGCTGTTTTATTCTGCGGCATAAACAAGATTCCATACTCTTTCCCCAATTTCACATTGTAATGGATTTCTTTAGTTGTTTTCAATTAAAATGTGGTCAAATGCACAAGAGCATGATTTGATCGACTTGTTAGCTTAGTAAAATGGACAAAAATAGTTTAAGCTGAAGGTTATGAGGAATATTCAGGGTAAAATACAACTTAGGTTTTATTGATAGTACAGTATGTGGCCTTCTCTCGGTTGCCATAGTACGTCGAAATAATGTAGACTTTTAAGCCATTTAACCCTCCTATTATCTTTGAGGTCAATTTGACCCCATTCAATGTTTAACGTCTGTATACATATTTATTTATTTTTTGCTTCAGATTTAATGACTTTCCTAATTTAATGGGGACAACTCTGTAAACATAAAATTAACCTGCTGATATTTTTTTCAATGTCCTGTACACATTTTGTAGCATCTGTGTTCCTTGGGGTCAATTTGACCCCAGGCTCTTTTAGCTGTATAATAAAACAGAAGACATATTCAAATTTCACACACATTTGTTTTGGTTGTTTCATTGAGGTCATGTTATAATTTTCATTACATATTAAATATTATATTCAAAAACATGACGTGACATAATTCTCATGAGAACTAATAATTCTTCCTATGCCATGGGGAGGGGAAAACAGAATTTTTGCGAGATTGAGCCCAAGCAAAATTTACTTTTCTTGAAAAAATAACTAGTTTTTCTTTCCAAATGTTATAGATTACAAAAAGCTATACTTAGAAATAATATAAAACAAATAAAACACCAAATATATTTATACTTTTCCAATTTTAGGTCAGTCAGTAAGATTTTATGCTGATTTGTACGTTTGTCCATAGTAGTGCAATGAGTATTCTGGATGTATAAGGGGTTAGGTGGGGTGGGGAGGGGGGTAATGGGTGGATGTAAATGACCTCAGACAAACCTCATATTGTGGAGGTATAACTTACTGGGGTCAAATGGACCCCAGTAGGTAAAAAATGTTATCAGATTTGAGGCTAACAGGAGGGTTAAGTGTTAGCATCTAGCTAAATGTATTACTTTAAGACTTGCATTTATCGCTTTTTCCCTGTTTGTGCTGTTTTTGACCTCATCAAACCTGTGACCTACCAATTGAGTCACGTCACGAACTCTTGCCTCCACGCTTTTGTGACAGTTTTTCCATGACAGCAACAACAACACTATAAAACCATTTTGATTGTCAAAATCTTCTCTAGCTGTCAAGGGAGGATGTCTCTGCCGCAAGACACGACAGGTTGGAAGCCGGTAGACGTGCAATTGTCGTCCGAAATCTTTGGCATAGAAAAATGTTGCGGGGGTGAAAATTAAGCCTATGTTCCCGTCACTGTCAATCACAGCGTGTCTTTTCTGAATGGAGTGACACACAGAACATCTGTTTGCTTTTAAATCGAGCTTGTCATCCTGATCACGCTGAAGCGTCAGGTCTTCTCTGTGTCACATGGCCCTCTATGATTGTTCAGTCTGATATAGGGGAAATGAAGTCAGAATGAAGCTAAGCAACAACTTCCTGTTTGTTCCCTTTCCTTTATTTGCAAGGTGTAAAAATACTTCTCGTGTAAGATGGTGACTGGAGACATGCTGTTAAATATGAGATTCAGTGAGAGAGAGAGAGATGGAAATGGGTGAAAGAGAAAGAAAGTGAGCGAGAATATCGAGAGATGAGGATTTGAGGGAGTCATGATTCGGTTATTGGATGAGAGTAGGATATTCTTTGTCATTTCCTGTGAATCAGGGAGGATGGAGATATTCAGATTATAGTATTTATAGCTTTTCTATTCAGCAGGCAAAAGCACATTTTAATCACTATCATTATATAGAAGCGGAGGACATTGGCTTTGATTTACAGTAGATCATTTGACCTATACGTTTTTACTAGGGATGCAAACGATCAATCGACTATCGGTTAATTGTCGAACAAGAATTCACTCGATTAAATTAAATTAATTGTCGGCTAATTGACGATGCTTTTCTATTCAGCAGGCAAAAGCACATTTTAATCATTGTCTAGAAGCAGGGGACATTGGCTTTGATTTGCAGTAGATCATTTGACCTATACGTTTTTACTAGGGATGTAAACGATTAATCGACTATCGGTTAATTGTCGACAAGAATTCACTCGATTAAATTAAATTAATTGTCGGCTAATTGAACATTGCGAACGTGACAAGATTGACAAGAACACAAACTTGAGGCAGCAAAAAAGAAACCAAACAGGAGGCGTTCAAAACGGAGTGGAGTGTGGGAGCAAATTAATTAATGATGACAAAGTAAACTCTGCGGTACTATGATTAAGTACAACAGCTCTACGAGTTCGCTAATGCCTGGTTCAGATTACACGTTTTTTTTTTTTGTCTATTACGATGTGTCAGATTACGCGATTTTGACTCCTAAAATCTTGTCATGTCGTGGACAAGACACATTTCAGACTACATGTTTGCTTCCTGACCAGTCATCGCATGCTGTCTTTAACGGCGCGCGTGATGTCATCGAGGAGGTGAAACTAGTAGCGAGTGACATCCGGAAACGAATGTAAACAAACAATGGATGAAGCGGTGAGTGTTGTATTGGCTGTCCTGTGTTCAGAAAAAAAGTTAAGAAAGAACGAAAACCCGACAATGGACACGTTTCTGGATTGCTCGAAGAGGACAGTATGGGCTGTCAATCCTCCAAAGAGAACTTGAGGTCAAATATTGTTTTCTGATATATTTTTACTTTTAGTTTTAACGTTAGCACCATCGTCTCTCTTTCGAACGCTATATGACAAAACGGCGCTATACTACGCACATGGCACCCGTTATCGTTAATATAACACGTGCTGTGATGGTTAGGTTTAGGTGTGGGGTAGGGTAGGGTAGTCTCATATTACGCTAAAGGATTTATGACGCCTTGGGTTCGCGTGAATATTTACGATAAAGGGTGCCATGTGCGTAGTATAGCGCCGTTTTGTCATATAGCGTTCAATGTGACGCTGAAGGATGAGAACGGGCTGGAAGGCGAGTATGTGACCACATGAAAGTAGAGGAATGATCTTTGAATTCAGCTTAACAAAAGTGTTGCGTTTAAAATTTTGTTCAGTGTAATACAGTGTAATATCTAATATTTAGTGCTCAAGAAACTTATTTTGTATGTTCTTATGTTGAAAACTTGTACTGTTAATATTCATGTGGTGATGCGTGATACTTTTTTTCAGTATTTTCAAAAGAACAACATTTATTTGAAGTTTAAATTGGGTATGTTACTTTTGATCAATTTAATGCATCCTTGTTGAATACAATAATTCATTTCTTAAAAACTACTGACTCTCGTAGAAAATAAAAGTTTAATCCACTTTAAGATAGCATGCATGCTTTTAAGTGCATTTGGGGAATTTTACTCAATTTTTGGTGTTTCTATCCAACATTTAGTATTCAATATTAACAACAAATTATATTAAAATATTTGAATGAAATCCAGTTATTTTCTCTCGAGAAACAGACAGACAATTGAACATTCATCCTTTATAAAGCTTGAGAAGAGATCTCGATAATGTCACAAACTGTGCTCAGATTTGCCTAGATAGAAAGGTCTGCGATCAACAGTCAGAGAAAAGTAATTCAAAAGAGCTTAACTTGTATTGAACCTGAAACAATCCATTTAAAGTCCCCGTGAAATCAAAATTGAACCTATTTACTTTGTTAGCGCATATTACTATTCTTGTGGTGAACAATTAATCCGTGCAAGTAAAAATATATTTAAAAAATGTTTTACCTTGGTAATCTTTAATCAAAATCTGAAAAGTTACTTCCGGTCTGGAACGGTTTCTTTTTCTGATGACGTAGGTTTCACAACTTGGGTGGGGAAACGCTTAACCACTCCCCTCAAACCGTTAGTTTGCTATGAGCGAGAGATGGAGAGGAGGAGCGCTAGAGTAAAACCCTGCCCTCTGTTCAATATTCCGTTTCACTTGGAAATACGTCACAGCACTGGAGAAAAATCGTTTGCAACTTCCGGTTCACGGGGACTTTAAGATCTGTATGCTAGAGGCATTGTGGACAAACTAAACTCGGAGCAATTAAACATTTCCTCTGAGAAATAAAGTGTGCAATTGTGTAATTTTTGGTGTTATATATTTGATAAATAAAGTAGGACAGGCAGAATAAAAGAGAAAGACTGAAATAGACAGGTTGTTGCGTCTCCGTTGAGCACACGTTAACTGCATTAGTATTTTCAAAGCTCAGCCCACGTCTGGTCATGAAAATGTTTTTGGTCTCTAAAGCTCTATGAGTTCAGATTTTTGCGATCTGAAGGTGGAGTCTGAGACTGGGTTTGATCTCGGACTTGTTGTGATCCTATAAAAGTCAGTGTATTAAAGTCCAGACGCCTCTCATAAATCATTCATTGGCAAACTCGCTATCGCGCACGCTCACTTCACCATTGATGGAATTGTGAAGAGACGGCCATCATGGCTGTGAAGACTTGTAAAGAAAATATCTTGAGAAAAATACTGGAAGCTTCAGAGGAATAATGTGTTAAGCTTTTGGCTTTGCAGTAAATCTATAGTGTGTGTGTGTGTGTGTGCATGTGTAACGTGTTTGAGACAAAGAACAGTTTTGTGGTTGCCAAGGCCATGAGTGTCTTCATTTTGAATCCCGGACCTTTTGATCATGAGCGATCTCCTTTCAGACATCCTAAACCCCCTGAATTCATGATTTCTCCTGTGGCACATCATTTATATTCTAAGAGCCTTTATATTAGTGATCATTTTAGACACCAGACAGGCTGCATTTATTAGCATTAGAGTTCAAACTGGTCAGGACTCCCTCTCTAATTAGCAACATTGATGATACGTGTGTGTGACTGTGTGTGTCATTACTTGGTCAGCGCTGTGATGGAGTCTTACATCTTTCTTTCCTTTGCTTTTGATCATATGACTGACAATAAATACACACTAGAAGAAAAGGTTCTATCAGCGCTATGTATTTGGAACCCCTAAAAGGTTCTATACACTCTTAAAAAAAGGGTTCCTCTTGGTTCTAAATAGAACCCTGGGGTTCCATACTTTTACAAAAAAAAAAAAAAATGGTTCTATATATGAAGCGGGGGATGGAACTATTTCTGGTTCTAATGTTTTAGAGGATCTATTTCATCATATAGAGTTAATTACAATCCTCAAATTCATTCCATTTATTTTGAATATTTTGAAATAACAGCGCTAGAATTTTTCACTGTTTGTAAAAGTGAAAATTTTAATTTAAAGGAGTAGTTCACTTTAAAAAAAATAAAATAACTTTTGCTGATAATTTACTCACCCGCATGTCATTTGTCTTCAGTCGAAAAGAAATTAAGGTTTTTGATGAAAACATTCCAAGGATTTTTCTCTATATAATGGACTTCAATGGGAACCAAACGGTTCAAGGTCCAAAAGACAGTTTCAGTGCAAACTGCAAACTGTTCAAAGGGCTTTAAACGATTCCACACGATGAATAAGGGTCTTATCAAGCGAAAACAAAACAAAGTTTAAGTTTTATAAGCTCAAATGCCTTGATTTGATTTACTCTGTGTTAAATTATATGCTGCGTGTGTATTTTGTGGTTGCAGGAGAAAGATAAACTTTACGTGGAGCTGAAACACATCCTCGCTCGGCAGCCCGGTCCGGAGGCAGCAGAAAAACTGCAGGTTTATCAACGAACTCTCCGGGAGAAGACCAAACAACTGAAGGTGCTATAAAAACATTTTTCCATTCTTTCTTCATAAACTTACACAATAATAGTGTATAATAAAAAAAACAAAAAAAAAACGTAATTTGACTAAATTGATTAGTTTACTTAAATGGTATTATTTAAATGAAATATTAAATTAAATTAATTATGAAATTAAATTAATTTATTAACAGACCCCAACCCCCTTTATCTGTGATATGTCAGCTAGATCCCCCTTCCCACTCACTAAAGGGTTTTCTCACATAAATCATTCCTCTCCCATCATCCTCGTCGCCTTATTCCACCTCTCACCATCTCACAAAATGAATAATTAGTTACTTCACCACTTAATTAAGAGTTCAGGTCCATCTGGAGACAGGAACCACTAATGTCATTTTTAATGAGTCGGTTCGGTTTCAGCTGCCTCGTCCTGTCCTATTAAAAAGGCGAGAAGCAGAGATGAGAGCGGTTAAAAAGTTATGAGCCTCTGCTGAGCCTTAAGTGACCTTATAATATCCATATGGCCTTGATATACGTTGATCTTTAAGCTGGGTTTTGACCAGGTTTTTGCCATGTAATGGCTAACATTAGGATCCAGGAAACTGAAAACGAGGCAAACCTCCCTCTGCAATCAGGACAATATATAGAAAGGGCTCCCCATCTTTTTAAAAAATGGACGTAACAGACTTTAAAGGCTCAAAACTCCTTAGCTCGGCAGAAATTCGGAGCTGATCTATTAGAATATCTGCAGTGTGAAGTGTACAACTCTCTGGCGTCCTTGAACTTAAAAATAACGGCCCGAAGGTAGGCATTGGGGGGTTTGGCTTTCTGATAATTTATTGCCAAGCTTAAAATGAGTTACACACCGGAGGCATCACTGGCAAAGCTTTAAATAAACAGAGCTCAGCATAATTAACATTAGAACAGAAGCCCTACTAATGAGCCGAATGGAAAAATCAACCCGTTCTTTGTTGTGATTGAAGCATGTCCTCCCGCTCCAACCTCCCTTTAAGAAATTAACATTCATTAACACTGGTCTTTTGACTCTCCATGCTTGTTTGGAAAATGTTTCTAAAATGGAAAATGGAAATTTTATAAGGGTTTTTGTCTTTATAAAATACCCATGCGAGTCAGAATATTATACGGTTTATGAAAACCACACATCAGTTGAAGTATTTTGTTCATTTGTAAGTGATATTTGCTTGAAAGTTGGTTAAACAATGCAATTGTTGGCCCGGTTCAATACCCGAATCTGAATTTCAAACCAAAAAAAGTTGTAATTCTCTTTTTCCAAATTATTTGTATTCAATTTTGTGGATGGACACACATTGAAAGTGAAAAACTTTCATTGAACAGAAACATTATGAATGCCTGCTGTGCGCAAAATCCTTTTCAAATTGTTCACTGCAAATATGCGATTCTCTCTCTTTCCTCCCTCACTTCCTGTCCATCTTCCTCCTCCTGTTCCTTTGATTACTGAGCTCTGGGCTGTTGGGTCATCCGCACTATGTGGGTGGTTTCGAGCACATTGGATGAATGACAATTAGAGCTTGACTGATATGTGCAAAGATTGACGGAGATCAATGAGATGGCAGAGGAAGTCACTCCATTTTTTTTTTTTTTTTTTTTTGCTCGGAGGGAGAGATGAGGTGACCGCGTGTTAAGCCGAACACATCCTCAGTGATAGATCATAACTGTACAACTAGGACACATTTATGGCAAAGAGGTGCCTGCTGAAGTGTAAGCGTGGCTTTGGGAAACATTTTAAAGTAATTGACAAATGGGCCCTTAGGTGCTTTGCAATATTGAGATGGTGTGCAACATAACTGGAAGCACCAAAGAAGTGGATGTAAAAGCTATTAGCTACTTTTAGTGTTTTATCATGGTTTGGGGTGTTGTTCAGTATAATTTCTAGCTATTAATTACGTCTTCAACGGTGTACTTTTAGATTACTTAGATTACTCTCTCTTAAAAAAGTATTGCATTACTATACTAAGTTAACACAAATTACTTTCTAAATCCAGTTGAATAATACAAGCATTGACATGAAACCGCTCTTTTTTTCTTAAAAAAATAAATAAATGATTTAAAATAAATAATATAAAATTGCATAAATTATTTTCGGACTGGCCATTATTTAAAGGGAGTATTTAAAGTGAGATGGTTACATTAAAAAACACATTTTAACGTTAATTTTAAGTACATTTAACATTTTGTTAATCACATCATTTTTTTTTTATTAAATTGAGCACATTTGTCTAATTTCTCATTATTTTTTTTTTTACAAATTATACAGTACAATTTAATACAATTACATTATGAACTTTTTCATGCATTTGACAAGTGCATTATTACAGAAATTGCATGACGTAAAGTCACAGACGTGCACATATCAACTATTTAAACAGTTTCAAACGTAACTTGTCCAATCAGATTTTGATTGCACGAACACAATTTTTAACACAATAACCTTTTTATCATTTCTTCTTCAGGCCTTAACAGCTGAGCTCAACATGCGCGAGTCCCAAGTGGAAGACTACAAGTATGAAATCGAACGCTTGGCACAAGAACTCCAAGAAGTCAAGAAAAAATACCTCGCACAGAAACGCAAAGAGCAGGAGTACAGGTGAGAAAGACGGGTGTTAACCCAAAAATTGCAATTGTGTCATTTACCCAGCCTCATGTTCTTCTAAACCTGTATGACTTTCTTTCTTCAGTGTAACACAAAACTACAACTTTTTATTGCTTAAACTTTGGGTTAGTTCACCCACAGGTTATCCCATAATTTATTCACCCTCAAGCCATCCTGTGTATATGACTTTCTTCTTTCATTCAAACACAATCGGAGTTATATAAAAAAATTATCCTGGCTCTTCCCAGCTTTATAATGGGAGTGAATAGAAGCTCCAAAAAGCGCATCCATCCATCATAAAAGTAATCCATTTGGCTTCAGGGGGTTCATAAAGTCCTTTTGAAGTGAAGCGATGGATTTTTGTAAGAAAAATATCCATATTTATACCTTTAGAAACTATAATCACCAGCTTCCGGAAACAGCCGTGCGCGAGTCAAGTTCTGGCACAATAGTGACCTCTCATTTTTGGGTGAACTCCCCCTTGAAAGGTATAGTTCACATTGAAATAAAATTTTTGATATGTTTTAGCTTACCTCAAGGGCATCCAAGATGTAGGTGTCTTTGTTTCCGCAGTATTTGTAGGTCAAACCGTTCTTGTCTGTCAGTCATATAATGGGGGTCTATGGTCACCACCTCAAAGAGCATGCACAGAGAAGTCCAAATTAAACATGATTTAATGACTCGTAAATGTAAGTACACATTGATGGCCTAAGACATGAAACGAGCGGTTTGTGTGAGAAAACGAACAGTATTTATATCGTTTTTACCTCTTTGTAATCAGTCACGTCCAAGTACTATGAGGGCGAGGGCGCGTCTATCTGCGCTCGTTGCATTGATACACATTGACAACCGCTCGTTTCGTGTCTTAGGCTATCAATGTGTACTTACATTTACGAGTCATTAAATCATGTTTAATTAGGACTTCTCTGTGCATGCTCTTTGAGGTGGTGACCATAGACCTCCATTATATGACTGACGGACAAGAACGGTTTGACCTAAAAATATCAAAATTGAAAATACTGTGGAAAAAAAAAGATACCAACAACTTGGATGCCCTTGAGGTAAGCTAAAACATCAAAGCATCAGGCACCATAAATGAGGATGGGTAAATAATGACAGAATTTTCATATTTTGGCTAAACTAAGCATTTAAAAATAGCCTTGTGTCTTGCATGTGGATTCAGGTGGAAGACGTTAATGCCAGATCAGAATGTAACGTTATATCCACGGTTTAAGTCAGACCAGCAGAAAGCTCTCATAGTGTTTGTATGTGCATGGTGTCTGTGTATCCATATATTTCACGGAACTGACAGAAAATGACCTTCAGCATTGCCAACAAGCAGACATGAACGGCAGCCTCTGACACGGACGAAAATGATACCTCAAATAACGGTGAGAAAGGAAAAAGGCATTTGGAGCTGGAGAGAAATCAATGAGCCAGTGAATTGGAAAAATTTCTCTCATTTGGACTCTGTGTTCTTGGGAGCAAATCGTGACACTGAAAATTATAGAGTGACGCAAAGCCGGTATGTGTTACTCCGAGAAAAACGCTGATTAGTAGGACCCTGCCAAGTTCCACTGCTATTGGCCTTCGATCGAATGAAATTATGACTAATCGTGTGGTATTTTGGAAGCTTTTTCCGTTTTTTAACCTAGGGAGTCTTATTTTCTAAAGCACTTGCTTAGGAGAGCATTGATTTTATGTTTGCAATATGCTAACCACTACGGTTACCCAAATACACAATTATCACAACTACTCAAGTCACATCCAGAACTATTCCAGTTCCCACACACACATCCAGAACACACTCTTTGGGCCTCATTCGTGAAACACGAGCAGGGGGAATCTGCATGTAAGGTGGTTATTCCCTGTGAACCATATTGTAAGACTTTTGAATATAATGGTTACTTTACTGAAATGAGGAACCCTTTGACGAATGCTACCTACAAATGCGACTTTTGGGGGACACGTCCTTCAACATTTTTTGTTAGTGGTTGACACATCTGTGAGAACAGATACAGATTGCGTGGATCTGATTGGCCAGTATCTGCCACCTGGTTGCAAGCACAACTGCCTTACTTCTTGTCACACCACAGAATGTTCCACTGAGTGTTAATGATTTGTTGGTGGACCAGTAGGATTCTTAGGAAAATGCCTGGTTGCCTTTGCACGGCGTCTTAATCAGAGGAAAATTAAATGGCATCCATCATCTCTAGTGATCTACAATTTCATAACTGAATCCCAGAGAATGACTTGATTTCTAATTGAGATATATAAGCTGAGTTTAATGATCTACTTTTCTCGGCTAAAAGTTCTATCAGTCCTCGCAGTTGATTTATTCTATGTGTTTGATCTGTCTATTAATCATATGAAGTAGTCAGAAAGATGTTTAAATGCTTTTAAATTAAATTAAATTTAATTTAATTTAATTTAATTTCTAAATTAAAAAAAAAATATTATATTTAAATATATTTTAAAATATAATTTATTCCTTTTTATAAAAGTTGAATTTTCAGCATTATTACTGGTCCAGTCTTTAGTGTCACATGAGCCTTCCAATCATGCTGAAAAAACAACAAAAAAAACCAAAAAACATTTCATATTATTATCAATGTTTTTGTGTGGAAACAGTGATATTTTTTTCAGGATTCTTTGAGTTCAGAAGAAGAGCATTTATTTGAAACCAGCAGGTCTGGGAAATCTAAACCGAAGACAATATCTATGTGAGTTTTCAATATGTTTTTAGATATCAAATAAACCTGATACCCTTTTGGCTTCATAAACTTTGTGAAATACTGATGATGCTATGAGATCTGGCTCATATTTCAGAAATCTCTATACCGCTATCCTGTCTAGGAAAACAGTTTGCACATTTATCAGATATAATATTCATAAGTAAATGAAATGCGATTACCATGTCCATTTTACCAAGGTATCATATAGTTAACATCATTTTCCTGCGATCTGTTTCTCATAAAAACGTCCAACAATATTTACTAAGTAGACTAAGTAGACCAAATATCCTTTTCGGAGCTCATATCTTTTGTCTTGTTTGTAACACATACAGCCTTAAACCGTTTGTCTGGGTCAACTGCAGACATCATTCCTCGTCTGTTTTGAATTCTCCTGGCTGCGCGTTTAAACATTACACCTAAGCCTTGCTGATGGGCAGTATATTGATTTCCTTTTTTCCCTCTGACATCTTGTGAGCTCAGACCAATGGCTTAATTCTACACAAATCCCACATCAGTGTTTTCACACCAAGTAAAACTAGTCTCTCATAAGTAATGGAGAAGGTCTTGTTTTGTTCACACCAGAAGAAGGATGAAGGCATTTAGCTGAAGGACAGAGATATTTAAGAAAAGCAAAGACATTTGCGACAAGAAACTGCTGTTATTGAAGAAAAGCACCTTGAAATGTAACTGAATCTTGGCTACATTGAATTGTGGTGATTGAAGAATGATTGATTGATATTAAGGTTTAAGTAAAATCACCATGGATGTAGTTAACCCATGGGGGTCTGAGCATTTTCATGGCTAAAGTATTATTACACTGTATTCAGCACAACCTCTGCTACAATAATATGTCAGCAGCATGTATGTAAAATTTTGTAGTTTTTAGATAATGACGTTTATGCAGGGTTTGTGAAAAAAACAAAAAACAATTGTCACTGAAATAAGGTCATAAAACCAACCCGATCTCACGGGAATTCGTACGAATTGTACGAGGTGGCTAATTCGTAACAATTCATACGACCTCACTCATACAAATCAGTATGATTTTGCTAAATTGTACATATTTTACGAATTGGCCAATTCGTATGAATTCGTACTAATGACCTACCCCTGACCCCACCCCTAAACCTAACCATCATGTGGGTTTAGACAAATCGTATGAATTCGTACGAGTGAGGTCGTGAGATAGGGTAGCATAAAACCTATACTGATTATTTCTTCACAAGACTTTTGTATTTTCAAAAATTGTATCACATAGCCTAGTGCATTTGCTCCAAAGCTATGTGAAAATATTTCTGACTTCTCATTCAGATAAGGCAATAAAGTCTTTTAAAAAATGTTTGACGTGTTTTGGGGAAGATAGCTTTATGCGGGGAGGCATTAACCACCCATTAAAAACACTGTGCTAGCAAGTGTTACAGAGTGACTTTAGCTTTAAAGTATTTATCTACTTTTAGACAACTACTTCCTAACTTCAGTTTAAAGTCACCATTTTTGGGGGCTTTTAGGATGAATATGTTTGTCTTACTGTTATCTATAAGCTAGTGTGCTCCAAAACAGTGACAAAATTCACATATAGAAGATAAAAGCATTTAAAACTTCAGTCTCTTCCGCCATTATGGATCAATTATCGTGACATCACTCATCAGATTTTCTGTCCAATAAAATGCTTTCTTGAATCTGAAGCCCTGCCCCTATTATAAATACATGCTAATGCTGCAGCTAAAATCAGTCACTTATTCACAAACGTACTACTTTCTACATGGTTAATGGCGCATAGTGCATTATACAGAGGGGATAGGGAATGATTCAGATGATGTAAATTTACTTTCCATTGGGGTGAATGAAGTCTGGTTTCACATTAGTGTCACATGAACTGCTCCGGTCCAGAGACACGATAGCAGAGCGTACCATATGCGCAAGTTGGGCCAGACCACAAAATGTATCGGAGACTCTTGAATTCTGCACTGAATGCTGTATTTTAAAGCAATATGGAGGAGATTATGAGGAGAAATGGTTAGAGATTCCGATCTCACGGGAATTCGTACGAATTTTACGAGGTGGCTAATTCGTAACAATTCATACGACCACACTCGCACAAATTAGTACGATTTTGCTAATTCGTACATATTTTACGAATTGGCCAATTCGTATGAATTCGTACGAATGACCAACGCATTCTCATCCTTTAACGTCATATACAACGCTATATGCAAAAACGGCGCTATACTACGCACATGGCATCCGTTATCGTTAATA